TCAGAGCGTTCCAGTCGCTGTAGGGCAGTCATCTCTGGCTCTTCTTCCATCGTGGTCAGGGAGTGCGCTGGGTCCATGATGGTCAGATCGTTCTGTCACGGACAGAAGAGGACCCAAGAGCGCAAGTTCAAATTCAGAGTTCTTATTTGAAGGTTTCAGGCGGGAAGAGGAGTGCCAGGGGTGTCAGGGGTTCCAGGGGTGCTTGGGGCTCTGGGGTTTTACAGGGTCCTGTGGGTACCTGTGCTCCGGGGGTCACCAAATGTCCGGGGGTGTCCAGTCCAAGTGCTTAGTGTGTGTGTTCCCCAGTGATGGAGCGGCGTATCGGGCTGAGGGTGGTGAAGCGTCTGGGCACGCTCATCTGGTGGTCGGAGACCGGAGGGGCTGAAGATCGGAGAGTAGTCGAGGTCCAGAAGGCAGGTCGGGATAGACGGGGCAGTAGAACAAGGAGGCAGTCAAGAAAGGATCGGTATCACAAACAGGAGTCAGAGCGCAGACAGGCAGGTTACTGGTCCGGGTTTGAAGACGATCTGACAGGGCTTGGCTGAAAAACAGGGCTTGATATACTGGGAGAGGTTAGTGGGGAAATGCAGTTCAGCTGGCAGAGTAATTAGAACAGAGTGAGGCAAGGTGAGGATGGTGAGTGGGAAATGCAGTGCAGCTGGCCAGGTAACAAGAGCAGAGCAGGGCGGAGCCAGGTGGAGCTCGTTAGGCAGAGTAGGGAGAGAGTGAGCAGAGTGGCAGAGAATTGAATGCAATTAATGTTGCTACCAGGGAGAGAGAGTGCTCATGACACTGTTCTCTGTACTCTATGGTATAATACTCCACTGTTCTCTGTACTCTATGGTATAATACTCCACTGTTCTCTTTACTCTATTGTATAATACTCCACTGTTCTCTTTACTCTACTATGGTATAATACTCCACTGTTTCTGTAACTATTATAATACTCAATGTTCTCTGTACTCTATTGTAATACTCCACTGTCTCTTTACTTTACTATGGATAATACTCCAACTGTTCTCGGTACTCTATTGTATAAATACTCCCGTGTTCTCTCTTACTCTACTATGTATAATACTCCAATGTTCTCTGTTACTCTTGGATAATACTCCACTGTTCTCTTTACGTCTACTTATGGGATAATACTCCCATGTTCTCTTACTCTATTGTATAATACTCCAACTGTTCTCTTTACTCTACTAGGGTATAATACTCCAACTGTTTCTGTCTCTATGGTATAATACTCGACTGTTCTCTTTTACTTACTAGGTATAATTAATCAACTGTTCTCTGTACTCTACTTGGTTATAATACTCCATGTTATCTTTTAATCTCTATGCGAAATACTCCATTGTTCTTCTTTACTTCTACTATGGTTATAATAACTCCATGTCTCTTACTTACTATGGTATATCTCCACTGTTCCTCTGTACTCTACTATGGTATAATACTCCACTGTTCTCTTTACTCTACTATGGTATAATACTCCACTGTTCTCTTTACTCTACTATGGTATAATACTCCACTGTTCTCTTTACTCTACTATGGTATAATACTCCACTGTTCTCTTTCACTCTATGGTATAATACTCCACTGTTCTCTTTACTCTACTATGGGATAATACTCCACTGTTCTCTTCACTCTATTGTATAATACTCCACTGTTCTCTTTACTCTACTATGGTATAATACTCCACTGTTCTCTTTACTTTACTATGGTACAATACTCCACTGTGCTCTTTACTCTACTATGGTATAATACAGTATTCTCACTGTTCCTCTGGTTCTATGGTATAATACAGTATTCTCACTGTTCTTGGGGTTCTATGGTATAATACAGTATTCTCACTGTTCTTGGGGTTCTATGGTATAATACAGTATTCTCACTGTTCTTGGGGTTCTATGGTTTAATACAGTATTCTCACTGTTCTTGGGGTTCTATGGTATAATACAGTATTCTCACTGTTCTTGGGGTTCTATGGTATAGTACAGTAGTTCCCACCGCTCTGTACTCCGTACTGTAGGATTCTATTTAATAAGCTCCATTGAGACAGATTATCCTCCATCAGCCATGCTTCACCAAACACAAGATGAAAGACCTCATGGGGTGTGAAACTATCCTCGGAAGGACTAGAGTGGGACAAACGGAGAGGGGCAGAGAAAGAAGGAGAGGACGAGAGTAGCAGAGAGAGGAGAGGAGAGGAAGCGAGAGACAGAGCAACACAGAGGAGCAAGGAGAGGAGAGACAGGGGGAGAGGAGAGAGTGGAGAGGAGAGGAGAGGGAGAGGAGAGGAGGGAGGAAAGGAGAGAGAGGAGACAGAGCAGAGAGAGCAGAGGAGAGGAGAGAGAGGAGAGGAGACAGGAAGAGAGCTACGAGGAGATGGGAGGAGAGGGAAGGAGTAGGAAGGAGAGGAGAGGAGATATGGAGAGAGAGGATGAGGAGAGAGCATATCAAGGGTTGGAGGAGTAGGAGATGATAGGATGAGGAGATGGAGAATCAGGGGAATATAAAAAAGGAGAAGAGAGGAGGGCGGAGGGAGAGGAGGAGGAGAGGACGAGGGACAGGAGAGGAGAGGAGAGGAGAGGAGAGGAGAGGAGAGGAGAGGAGAGGAGAGGAGAGGAGAGGAGCATGTGCCAGCCAGAGTGGACAGATGTTAAGAGTCTTTAGTAACTCTGTGGGTCTCTGAGTCTCTGACCCTACCTGTCATCCTCCACCCAGAGTTACACTAACAGGACATACTCTGACTCTTAGCAGTGTTCTCTGACACTCTTTGGTACTGTACTGGTCCAGCTGTCTCTAAGGGTTTGGTACTGTACTGGTCCAGCTGTCTCTAAGGGTTTGGTACTGTACTGGTTCAGCTGTCTCTTAGGGTTTGGTACTGTACTGGTGCTGCTGTCTCTAAGGGTTTGGTACTGTACTGGTTCAGCTGTCTCTAAGGGTTTGGTACTGTACTGGTGCTGCTGTCTCTAAGGGTTTGGTACTGTACTGGTTCAGCTGTCTCTAGGGGTTAGGTACTGTACTGGTCCAGCTGTCTCAAAGGGTTTGGTACTGTACTGGTCCTGCTGTCTCTAAGGGTTTGGTACTGTACTGGTCCAGCTGTCTCTAAGGGTTTGGTACTGTACTGGTCCTGCTGTCTCTAAGGGTTTGGTACTGTACTGGTCCAGCTGTCTCTAAGGGTTTGGTACTGTACTGGTCCTGCTGTCTCTAAGGAATTGGTACTGTACTTGTCCAGCTGTCTCTAAGGGTTTGGTACTGAACTGGTCCTGCTGTCTCTATGCCCGATAACTGGAGCAGCAGACTCAGGCAGACCATCACTGATCATATGGATATGGATTATTTATCATACCTGGGGTATCAGGTCATCGTGCCAGAAGAGCTGAAGAGTGTGAATGGTTGAATGGTGAAATCAATGTTTCCCATGGCTTTCAGTTGAGGTGAGGGTGCAGTAATCTTGCCTTACAAAATGGCAGTAGAAACATGACATTTACAAGAGAGTGGGAATGAATACCAGAGCATCACGTGTACTGGTGTACTTTTTCAGAGGGTGACCATGGGAGTCGTCTGTTACAATTGTACAATTTCTGAGTGGCGAGGTGCAAGTAGGCTAGTCTATTTCAGGGAGCGCTCTACGTAGGGTGAGTCACCAAGCATTTGGAAGACACACACACAAACACAAACACAAACACAAACACACACACACAAACACACACACACACACACACACACACACACACATACGCACGTGGCCTGGAGAATGCTGTTTTTTCTGCAGCGGGGCAGGCCTATTGGGCAGCGGCCATATTTGTGTGTCTGTCCCCTCCCCTCCCTCCCTCGGCCCCTCCCCTCTGCCCCTCCCTCACTGTAATCTGGCCCTGGGCTTTGAACAGGCTGAACATGCTGGAGACTCAATCTGTTGGGTGAATACAGAGAAACATGAGGCCTGGCCCACCCACAGACAAGACATAGCAGAAAATAACCCAGCCCCAGGCCAGACCAGACCAGCCCCAGACCAGACCAGGCCAGACCAGGCCAGACCAGCCCCAGACCAGACCAGGCCAGACCAGACCAGACCAGGCCAGACCTGAGAGGGCAAAGAGAGCAGCACACTGCCAGAGCAGAGATAGCAGAGATAGAGATGTGTTGTAGTGCAGTGAAAAGAAAGGAAGAGGTAGATGTGTTGTAGTGCAGTGAAAAGAAAGGAAGATGTGTTGTAGTGAGGTGAAAAGAGAGGAAGAGGTAGATGTGTTGTAGTGAGGTGAAAAGAGAGGAAGAGGTAAATGTGTTGTAGTGCAGTGAAAAGAAAGGAAGAGGTAAATGTGTTGTAGTGCAGTGAAAAGAAAGGAAGAGGTAGATGTGTTGTAGTGCAGTGAAAAGAGAGGACGAGGTAGATGTGTTGTAGTGCAGTGAAAAGAAAGGAAGAGCAAAAATGAAGGTAACAGGATCAAAACAGATGGAGGCCATTTTGGCTCAACGGGAGGCAGTGGCAGAGCGGGAAATGAGAGAGAGAAAGAGAGAACAAGGCAGCAGGGGAGCGAGAGCGAGAGAGAGAGAGAGAAAGAGAGCGAGAGAGAGAAAGAGAGAGCGAGAGAGAGAGAGGAGAGAGAGAGAGAGAGAGAGAGAGAGAGAGAGAGAGAGAGAGAAAGGGAGAGACAGAGATAGAGAGAGGAGAGAGAGAGAGAGAGAGAGAGAGAGAGAGAGAGAGAAAGGGAGAGACAGAGAGAGAGAGAAAATAACATGACATATGGAATCATGAGTACTGCTGTCAGTGAATTGTCAGTGGAGCCCAGAGGATGCATTGATTAACCTCTCCTCTCCTCATGTCCATTCTTCCCCTCTATTTTCAACATCTGTCTATCCCTCCATCGTCCACCTCTCACAGTAGACAGAAAGCCAATCATGCTACATACCCTAATCTGTGCAGAATTTTTCTCGCAATGTAACATTATATTTTCAATGGAAAGGTCTTCAACATGTGAATCTAAATACCAGAAAGTCTAACAATGTCATCTCTTTTCTTCCCCCTCTTCCTCTCCCCCCCCCGCCCCTCTTCTTCTCTCTCCCTCTGTCATTTCCTTCTTTTCTCATTTTCTCTCACCACCCCCCTCTCCCCCTTCCTCTCTCTCTCCGTCTTCCCACTCTCCTTCCCCCCAGTCTGTTCCCAGTTCTCTAAAGGTGTCTATGCCATCATCGGTCTCTACGACAGGAAGACAGTCAACATGTTGATGTCGTTCTGCGGAGCGCTGCATGTGTGTTTCGTCACGCCTTCCTTCCCCATCGAGACGGCCAACCAGTTTGTGATCCAGCTGAGACCCGAGCTACAGGACACTCTGGTGGGGGTTATAGACCACTATGGATGGACCAAGTTCGTCTACATGTACAGCTCAGATTCTGGTGAGTAGAGGGGTCAAAGGTTAAATGATTTACAGTGCCTTGCAAAAGTATTCGTCCCCCTTCGCGTTTTTCATATTTTGTTGCATTACAACCTGTAATTTAAATGGATTTTTATTTGGATTTCATGTAATGGACATACACAAAATAGTCAAAATTGGTGAAGTTGTTTACAAAAATTATACAAAATAAATAACGGAAAAGTGGTGCGTGCATGTGTATTCACCCCCTTTGCTATGAAGCCCCTAAATAAGATCTGGTGCAACCAATTACCTTCAGAAGTCACATCATTCGTTAAATAAAGTCCACCTGTTTGCAATCTAAGTGTCACATGATCTGTCACATGATCTCAGTATATATACACATGTTCTGAAAGGCCCCAGAGTCTGCAACACTACTAAGCAAGGGGCACCACCTAAGCAAGCGGCACCATGAAGACCAAGGAGCTCTCCAAACAGGTCAGGGACAAAGTTGTGGAGATGTACAGATCAGGGTTGGGTTATAAAAAAATATCCGAAACTTTGAACATCCCACGGAGCACCATTAAATCCATTATTAAAAAATGGAAAGAATATGGCACCACAACAAACCTGCCAAAAGAGGGCCGCCCACCAAAACTCACGGACCAGGCAAGGAGGGCATTAATCAGAGAGGCAACAAAGAGACCCCCTAAAAAAAAGTAAAACAAATAAAGAGACCAAAGATAACCCTGAAGGAGCTGCAAAGCTCAACAGCGGAGATTGGAGTATCTGTCCATAGGACCACTTTAAGCCGTACACTCCACAGAGCTGGGCTTCACGAGTGGCCAGAAAAAAGCCATTGCTTTCAGAAAAAAATAAGCAAACACGTTTGGTGTTTGCCAAAAGGCATGTGGGAGACTCCCCAAACATATGGAAGAAGGTACTCTAGTCAGATGAGACTACAATTGAGCTTTTTGGCCATCAAGGAAAACGCTATGTCTGGCGCAAACCCAACACCTCTCATCACCCCGAGAACACCATCCCCACAGTGAAGCATGGTGATGGCAGCATCATGCTGTGGGGATGTATTTCATCGGCAGGGACTGGGAAACTGGTCAGAATTGAAGGAATGATGGATGGCGCTAAATACAGGGAAATTCTTAAGGGAAACCTGTTTCAGTTTTCCAGAGATTTGAGACTGGGACGGAGGTTCACCTTCCAGCAGGACAATGACCCTAAGCATACTGCTAAAGCAACACTCGAGTGGTTTAAGGGGAAACATTTAAATGTCTTGGAATGGCCTAGTCAAAGCCCAGACCTCAATAGTTATGCATGCTCAAGTTTTCTGTTTTCTTGTTTGTTTGACAATAAAACATATTTTACATCTTCAAAGTGGTAGGCATGTTGTTAAAATCAAATGATACAAAACCCCCAAGATCCATTTTAATTCCAGGTTGTAAGGCAACAAAATAAAAAAACTTTAGCAAGCCACTGTATTCACTGAATAGTGTCTGCATGTGAATATCAACATCACAATGATAAGACATCACGGAACATGTGCCATTTAGCCATACGTGCATCATTATTTTTTAAATGTATGATGGTCCCTGGAATCGAACCAACTATCCTGGCGTTGCAAGCACCATGCTCTACCAACTGAGCTATAGAAGACCACAACATTACCATGCATTACTACCACTGGCTGGTTTGTCAAGGTTGTCAAGGAGACCAAGTGATACAGTAGTGAAACAGAGTGATATTCAGTTTACTATCCAGGTTAATAGACGGGGGAGTTGCTGGAGGTTTGGTGGGATCGCTGGGTCACAGGGTATGACGTTCCAGGTATGTGTCAGGAATAGCTTTAGAGTGTGCACGCGCACACACAAACACACACACATAATACACACTTCCTGCACACACACACACCTCTCGCAGGTCCTGTCTTGTGCAAGACATCAGTCGTCATACCAACCACAGTTTGTCATTCACTGATTGCCATGGTGACAGTGGAAGGGTAAGGAATAGCCGTTGTGTCCTTTCACAATGAAAAGCCTTTTCAGCCACGGCTCTGGGCAGCACCTGCACATGGACAGTCAACACAAACACAGACACACAGACATAATGATATATATCACACAAAGAGGAGGAGAGAGTTGAATACACACTGCTTTTGTCAGGGTATTTGAAAAGCATACTGTATGGCAAGAGCAAAGCGAACACATGTTTAATCTGCTTCATTTTCTGTCGGTGCAAAAAACCCCAGAGAAAGAATGACGCACCTGTCCACACCAGGTGTGCTTTACCTCTGTCCCTACCTCATCTCCTCCCCCTCTCCACCCTCCCAGTCTCTCACTTCCTCTCCCCTCCTCCCCTTCTCCCCTCCCAGTCCATCCATAGCCAATCAGCTGTAGCCTACCCATAATGCCGTGCCATCTGTCCCAGGTGTTGTGTGTTTCAGAGCATAACTGTCAAGCTACACTAAACTCTCTGCATACGCTGGCAGTGTGTGTGTGTGTATGTGTGTGTGTGTGCTTGCGTGTTTGTGTATTTGTGTGTGTGTATGCGTTCTTGTTTGCGTGCATGCATGCATGTCTCTTTGTGTGTGTTGTGACTGCTGAGTGATGTGACACTCTGAAATAAAGCCAGTTTAATGACCACTGTGAGACCTTGGTAAACTGTCACTCTGTCAGTCTGTCTGGACACACAACAGGATTGTGACAGAGGAGATTTCACACAGAGGATTGGTCCTTGTGATGTATAGTATCCGTGATAGCTAGAGCGCCACGCATGTCCCAGTGATGTTTTTATCTCCCATGATCCCTTTATCGGCCAGTGAGGGACTGCGGAGCCATTAACCCTGATGTTTGTGTGTTGGTGTGTGTGTGTGTGTGTGGGTGTGTGTGCGTGCGTGCATGCGTGTTTGTGTGTGTGTGTGTGTGTGCGTGCATGTGTGCGTGTGTAATTGAGTGGTGGGATGGAGAGTTCTGGAATCCATATCATCATCCATATTGCCTCCTGTTGCCTGGATACTATTCTCCAGCTGCCTGTCCAAAATGTTATTTTAAGCCTGTAAGAAAAATCGCTGTTTGTTCGGTTATAGTGTGTGTGTGTGTGCTTGCGTGTATGCGTGCATGTGTGTGTGGTTTTGGTGTGTGTGTGTGTGTGTGTGTGGCTGCGTGTCTTCAGGCCATTGTAGATGGCACTTTGTTCCCTATCACAAGGCTAAATAGAGGTATGCAGACAGGCACCTTTGTCAGTGTAGATTATAGCAGTCTGTGTTTAGTCCCCAGGGGGGCTCTCTCTTTGGTATACTGATCCGAGATTCTCCGTCCATTGCTATGCAGGGCTGAATGTGGATTAAAGTTGAATGCCTGGGAGAGAGATTAAAGTACCCATACATGTATGCAGGTGTTTGTGTGTGTGTGTGTGTGTGTGTGTGTGTGTGTGTGTATTGTTGCACACATTTCAGCACCTTGAAATTCCAAAAAAGCATCTTTGTTTATTTTGAGCTCATCCTTCTTCATATTACCATCTTTCAACACAGCCCAAAAAGCTTTTATGGCCTAACACATTTAGAACTTCTCCTTATAAATATTACTTTTTTAAGTGCTTTAACTGGAGAGATGGTATGTGTCCCAAATGGCACCCTATTTCCTAAAGTAGTGCACAATAAAGGGAATCGGGTGCCATTTGGGACGCACAGAGGGAACGTAGAGATAAATCGCTGTGAGTGTTGCCATTTTTTTTTTGCAGTTGCAGGGATTTTAATCTACTTTCTCCCCAGATAACATCTATGTAGATGTGCTGTTGAGCAACAGACGTTAACTAAAGTGTGTCTCTTTTTATTTTCAGAAGCCTGGAAATGGGTAAAATAAATTTGAACGTCCATTAAAACCCTCATAAACAATATTCACAAAATTGCCTTTTTTCTGTGAATAATAAAAAAAAGTTGTATTTCTTTTTCTCGCTCTCTCTCTCTCTCTCTCTCTCTCTCTCTCTCTCTCTCTCTCTCTCTCTCTCTCTCTCTCTCTCTCTCTTCTCTCTCCTCTCTCTCTCTCTCTCCTCTCTCTCTCTCTCTCTCCTCTCTCTCTCTCTCTCCCCTCCCACGTGTCGGTGCCTCCATGTGTTAGTCCAGTTAGTTCTGATGAGGGCCAGATTCCATTATTAGTTCTTATGAGGGCCAGATTCCATTATTTACATTTACATTTTAGTCATTTAGCAGACGCTCTTATCCAGAGCGACTTACAGGAGCAATTAGGGTTAAGTGCCTTGCTCAAGGGCACATTAACGTCATTTAGCAGACGCTCTTAGCCAGAGCGACTCGCAAATTGGTGCGTTCACCCTATAGCCAGTGGGATAACCACTTTACAACATTATGATGTTCTCTTCATGGTGTGCAGACACAGATTTGTGTGGCCGCATCAACCTCCTTGTTCTATTTCAGGGAGTAAGGGGCAAAAAGGTTTTATTTATACTAGAATAATGGTGTGTTCTTGTTGAAAAGGGGTGCAGACAGTGCAGACAGTGCAGACTGTGTGATTGAGCTGAAGGGAGCTGACCATGGTCCTGAAATCACACCATGACAACAGAGAAGTTGACCATGGTCCTGAAACTAGACCTTGAAACAGAGGAGTTGACCATGGTCCTGAAAGCACACCATGACAACAGAGGAGTTGACCATGGTCCTAAAACTAGATCTTGAAACAGAGGAGTTGACCATGTTCCTGAAATCACACCATGACAACAGAGGAGTTGACCATGGTCCTGAAACTAGACCTTGAAACAGAGGAGTTGACCATGGTCCTGAAACTAGACCTTGAAACAGAGGAGTTGACCATGGTCCTGAAACTAGACCTTGAAACAGAGGAGTTGACCATGGTCCTGAAAATAGATCTTGAAACAGAGGAGTTGACTATGGTCCTGAAACTAGACCTTGAAACAGAGGAGTTGACCATGGTCCTGAAACTAGACCTTGAAACAGAGGAGTTGACCATGGTCCTGAAACTAGACCATGAAACAGAGGAGTTGACCATGGTCCTGAAACTAGACCATGAAACAGAGGAGTTGACCATGGTCCTGAAACTAGACCTTGAAACAGAGGAGTTGACCATGGTCCTGAAACTAGACCTTGAAACAGAGGAGTTGACCATGGTCCTGAAACTAGACCATGAAACAGAGGAGTTGACTATGGTCCTGAAACTAGACCTTGAAACAGAGGAGTTGACCATGGTCCTGAAACTAGACCTTGAAACAGAGGAGTTGACCATGGTCCTGAAACTAGACCTTGAAACAGAGGAGTTGACCATGGTCCTGAAACTAGACCATGAAACAGAGGAGTTGACTATGGTCCTGAAACTAGACCTTGAAACAGAGGAGTTGACCATGGTCCTGAAACTAGACCTTGAAACAGAGGAGTTGACCATGGTCCTGAAAATAGATCTTGAAACAGAGGAGTTGACCATGGTCCTGAAACTAGACCTTGAAACAGAGGAGTTTGACCATGGTCCTGAAACTAGACCATGAAACAGAGGAGTTGACTATGGTCCTGAAACTAGACCTTGAAACAGAGGAGTTGACCATGGTCCTGAAACTAGACCTTGAAACAGAGGAGTTGACCATGGTCCTGAAAATAGATCTTGAAACAGAGGAGTTGACCATGGGCCTGAAACTAGACCTTGAAACAGAGGAGTTGACCATGGTCCTGAAACTAGACCTTGAAACAGAGGAGTTGACCATGGTCCTGAAACTAGACCATGAAACAGAGGAGTTGACTATGGTCCTGAAACTAGACCTTGAAACAGAGGAGTTGACCATGGTCCTGAAACTAGACCTTGAAACAGAGGAGTTGACCATGGTCCTGAAAATAGATCTTGAAACAGAGGAGTTGACCATGGTCCTGAAACTAGACCTTGAAACAGAGGAGTTGACCATGGTCCTGAAACTAGACCATGAAACAGAGGAGTTGACTATGGTCCTGAAACTAGACCTTGAAACAGAGGTGTTGACCATGGTCCTGAAAGCAGACGCTCCGTCTATGGAGTTCTCTGCTGTCCATATCAGTCAATGGTTTAATGTGACTGACTGCTGAGTTTGAAACCAGGTCTTCTGAACACCACATGACTGTATTAGCCCACTGAACTAAAGCTATGTCCTATTTCTCAAATGATTGATGTGATTTCACACGTTGTATTCATCAGGTGTCACCAACCCCTTTAACTACTTCTAAACCTCTCCTCTAAACCGTCCAACGGAGCCAGGCATCTATCACCTTTCACCATAACTCTGACTAGTTAGACACACACCAACAACCCTGCTGCAAATATGGCATGTGAAATATGTAAAGAGGGTCATATGCCATTTCAGATTATTCTCTATAGTGCAGTTGTGACTGGCTGTGCGGAATACAGCTTCATGTTGTAGCTTAGCTTATAATGTGATTGGTGTAATTCAGTATTTGGTTCAGTAATGGCCGCCACTCTGCCTCTTGTAAAAGCTTTGTTTACCTTCTGGAACAACTGTCTGTCCCCTCCTAGGAGGATTCTGATTGGTCTAATATGATACTGTGTGTGTGTGTGTGCCTCCGACACTGTAAATCTGCAGCCATGATCGATGCGTTCCCTAATGGCCTCTTATTTCCTGTCCCTGTTTGGAGCCGCGAGCCCATTGGCTCCCTGGCCTGTTCCCCTATGATGCTTTAGTGCATTAGTAGCCTATGGGGACAGCTTAATGGAGTGGCCTGGATTTAATTGGTGCCTCTGAGGGACTGTCTGTGTGTGTCCGTGTGTCTGGGTGTGTGTCTGGGTGTGTGTCTGCGTGTGTGTCTGTGTGTGTGTGCAGGGCCAGCCCTAGCCTTTTGGGGGCCCTTAGTGAGACTTGGTTGGGGTTCTCTCCACTTCGCGGCAAAACATTTTAGTGGCCCCCCTCTTGACGGCGGAGGGAAAAATGTACATCTATCCATTTTGTCTTGGGGTGGAGATTTTCTTTTGCCGTTTTAAAGATAATTTTCTGCAATTCTACACATTTTGCCATGCCTTATGCCATGTTAGTATGATATCGTGGTCCTCTGTAGCTCAGCTGGTAGAGCACGGCGCTTGTAACGCCAAGGTAGTGGGTTCGATCCCCGGGACCACCCATACACAAAAATGTATGCACGCATGACTGTAAGTCACTTTGGATAAAAGCGTCTGCTAAATGGCATATTATTATTATTATTATTATTATATCTGAGTGAGAGTGACTAACAAAATCAATGTGGGTACCCTGGAGATCAGAGCCTCTGGGCATGTGTCCTGCGTTGCCGGTCAGTATTCGGTCATGATTACTACAAGTTTAGATAGCTGGTTAGACAAACGTCCATGTTAGTTGAAATGGGCTAATTGAGTGACTGTCAGTGACTGACATAACAAGAGAAAAACTGCTGATGCACATCCAACTTTCGAAAATCGTACCTGGTGTATTCTACAATTTCTACTCTAAATAGTAAGTTGAGACCTCGACTAAGTTCCTAAAAAAATAAATATATTTAAAAAATGGTCGGGGGCCCCCTAAGCAGCTGCTTATTGTGCACTACTTTAGGAAATAGGGTGCCATTTGGGACACATACCATCTCTCCAGTTAAAGCACTTAAAAAAGTAATATTTATAAGGAGAAGTTCTAAATGTGTTAGGCCATAAAAGCTTTTTGGGCTGTGTTGAAAGATGGTAATATGAAGAAGGATGAGCTCAAAATAAACAAAGATGCTTTTTTGGAATTTCAAGGTGCATGTGCATGTGCATGTGCGTGTGTCTGTGTGTGTGTGTGTGTGTGTGTGTGTGTGTGTGTGTGTGTGTGTGTGTGTGTGTGTGTGTGTGTGTGTGGAGTGATTATTCAGAGTAACACCAAGTGCTGTAACAACATACCTGTACATGGCATCCCAGTCGTCATAATGAACTATGCCTCTGGAGCCAGTAATCATATATCACATTCCTGTGCTGTCAGGGAAAGTCGTATGATGGATAGGCCTATGTTAGCATGAGAGCTATATTATTGATGGATAGGCCTATGTTAGCATGAGAGCTATATTATTGATGGATAGGCCTATGTTAGCATGAGAGCTATATTATTGATTACTGGGCAAAAACACAGACAGCTTATCGGGCTTAGTGGGCAAGATGCTTCTTGGGCTTAATGGGCAAGATGCTTCTTGGGCTTAGTGGGAAAGATGCTTCTTGGGCTTAGTGGGAAAGATGCTTCTTGGGCTTAGTGGGAAAGATGCTTCTTGGGCTTATTGGGAAAGATGCTTCTTGGGCTTAGTGGGAAAGATGCTTCTTGGGCTTAGTGGGAAAGACACTTATTGGGCTTAGTGGGAAAGATGCTTCTTGGGCTTAGTGGGAAAGATGCTTCTTGGGCTTAGTGGGAAAGACACTTCTTGGGCTTAGTAGGAAAGATGCTTCTTGGGCTTAGTGGGAAAGATGCTTCTTGGGCTTATTGGGAAAGATGCTTCTTGGGCTTAGTGGGAAAGACACTTCTTGGGCTTAGTGGGCAAGATGCTTCTTGGGCTTAGTGGGAAAGACACTTCTTGGGCTTAGTGGGAAAGATGCTTCTTGGGCTTAGTGGGAAAGATGCTTCTTGGACTTAGTGGGAAAGACACTTCTTGGGCTTAGTAGGAAAGATGCTTCTTGGGCTTAGTGGGAAAGATGCTTCTTGGGCTTATTGGGAAAGATGCTTCTTGGGCTTAGTGGGAAAGACACTTCTTGGGCTTAGTGGGCAAGATGCTTCTTGGGCTTAGTGGGCAAGATGCTTCTTGGGCTTATTGGGCAAGATGATTGTATTCTAAGAGATGTCAGTTTATACAGTGTAAATGATGTCATACGGTACATCCAAAATGGCACCCTATAAACTATATAGTGCAATACTTTTGACCAGGGCACCATGAAATAGGATGCCTTTTGGAACACAGCCATAGTTCACCTATAACCCCTGACCTTTGCCCCTGACCTGTAGGCCTGTCAGTGCTGCAAAAGGTCCTGGACACGGCTGCTGAGAGGAGCTGGCTGGTGACGTCTGTCAACGTGGAGACCATGACGGAGGCCTCGTTCCTCAAGGTGTTCCAAGACCTGGACAAGAGGAAGGAGGGACAGATCATCATCGACTGTGAGACCGGAAGACTCACCTCCATCCTCAAAAAGGTAACAAGATAGAGAGACTCACCTCCATCCTCAAATAGGTAACAAGATAGAGAGACTCACCTCCATCCTCAAATAGGTAACAAGACTGTGACATTGCTAGAGTCATCTCCATCGCTAGTAGTGGGCCAGGAATGGCAAAAATGACAAGCAGTGGTCCATGATTTGGCTGCCATATATAAGCCAGAACTTTGTCAGACCTGGATCGGCCAGAACTGGGCCACTTAAAAATGCCGGTCAGATTCAAAAAGTAGGCCTGATTTGGGCCATTTTACTTATTCTTTCTGTGAATTAATTGAATCTAGACATTTGAGAAAACATCGCTACGTTGCACGTGAGACATGATTAACATGAATTCTCAGTGAAATAAACACCACATAGCCAGCAAAAGATGGGACAGAGAAAGAGAGAGTAATAAAAAGAGAGAGAAGTGAAGGGAAGAGAGGCAGGTTGAGTTTATTGAATCTTGCCCTGGAGGCAGAACGGAGCGATTTCCACTAGATAGGCCAGCTGCAAAGTCAATATTGGCTTTATGTGACCGACCACCTCGGTTGAGGAACAATGGGAAAGTAATTCTGCTTTGAAAGTTGATAAACTTGTAACCCCAATTTTGAGGAAATGGCCCTTGAATGTTTTGGTACACCTACTGGAGAGCTCTTCTTTGTCTACACCCATTCAGCATCGTTCACACCCTCTTAAGCCTTAGCACCACCCATCTCTTTAAGGATTCACATCTGAGGCCATGTGCTAAACAGAGTGAGTAAGGTAGTATAGTAAACAACCAAAGATTTCAAGACAAAGTGTTGAAACTAGTAGGAAAAACTCCAGGTAAAAATACATTTGATCTAGTGCCTTCGGAAAGTATTCAGACCCCTTTGCTTTTTCCATATTTTGTTACGTTGCCGCCTTATTCTAAAATGGATTAAATCGTTTTTTTCTCCACATCAATCTACATACAATACCCCATAATGACAAAGCAAAAACAGGTTTTTAGAAAGTTTTGCAAATGTATCAAAAATAAAAAACGGAAATACCACATTTACATATGTATTCAGATCCATTTACATTTACATTTACATTTACAATACATTTACATTTACATTTATATTTATATTTACATTTACATTCACATTTACATTACCACTGAAAACACTGCTACTCCTACTGCTCTGTCCTCGTCTGACCATGTGTTCTCGCATACCCCGAGAGCATCTGGTCAGCGGGGTGGTGGCACAGGAATCCTCATCTCTCCCAAGTGGACATTCTCTCTTTCTCCCTTGACCCATCTGTCTATCTCCTCATTTGAATTCCATGCTGTCACAGTCACTAGCCCATTCAAGCTTAACATCCTTATCATTTATCGCCCTCCAGGTTCCCTTGGAGAGTTCATCAATGAGCTTGACGCCTTGATAAGTTCCTTTCCTGAGGATGGCTCACCCCTCACAGTTCTGGGTGACTTTAACCTCCCTACGTCTACCTTTGACTCATTTCTCTCTGCCTCCTTCTTTCCACTCCTCTCCTCTTTTGACCTCACATTCTCACCTTCCCCCCCTACTCACAAGGCAGGCAATACGCTTGACCTCATCTTTACTAGATGCTGTTCTTCTACTAATCTCACTGCAACTCCCCTCCAAGTCTCCGACCACTGCTTTGTATCCTTTTCTCTCTCGCTCTCCTCCAACACTACTCAGTCTGCCCCTACTCAGATGGTAATGCGCCGTAGCAACCTTCGCTCTCTCTCTCCCGCTACTCTCTCCTCTTCCATCCTATCATCTCTTCCCTCTGCTCCATCCTTCTCCCTCCAATCTCCTGATTCTGCCTCCTCAACCCTCCTCTCATCCCTTTCTGCATCCTTTGACTCTCTATGTCCCCATGCCTCCCGGCCGGCTCGGTCCTCCCCTCCTGCTCCGTGGCTTGACGACTCATTGCGAGCTCACAGAACAGGGCTCCGGGTGGCCGAGCGGAAATGGAGGAATACTAGACTCCCTGCGGACCTGGCATCTTTTCACTCCCTCCTCTCTACATTTTCTTCCTCTGTTTCTGCTGCTAAAGCCACTTTCTACCACTCTAAGTTCCAAGCATCTGCCTCTAACCCTAGGAAGCTCTTTGCCACCTTCTCCTCCCTGCTGAATCCTCCTCCCCCTTCCCCCCCCCTCCTCCCTCTCTGTGGATGACTTCGTCAACCATTTTGAAAAGAAGGTTGACGAAATCCGATCCTCGTTTGTTAAGTCAAATTACACCGCTGGTCCTGCTCACATTGCCCTACCCTATGCTTTGACTTCTTTCTCCCCTCTCTCTCCAGATGAAATCTTGCGACTTGTGACGGCCGGCCGCCCAACAACCTGCCCGCTTGACCCTATCCCCTCCTCTCTTCTCCAGACCATTTCCGGAGACCTTCTCCCTTACCTCACCTCGCTCATCAACTCATCCTTGACCGCTGGCTGTCCCTTCTGTCTTCAAGAGAGCGAGAGTTGCACCCCTTCTCAAAAAACCTACACTCGATCCCTCCGATGTCAGCAACTACAGACCAGTATCCCTTCTTTCTTTTCTCTCCAAAACTCTTGAGCGTGCCGTCTTTAGCCAACTCTCTTGCTATCTCTCTCAGAATGACCTTCTTGATCCAAACCAGTCAGGTTTCAAGACTGGTCATTCAACTGAGACTGCTCTTCTCTGTGTCACGGAGGCTCTCCGCACTGCTAAAGGTAACTCTCTCTCCTCTGCTCTCGTCCTTCTAGACCTATCTGCTGCCTTTGATACTGTGAACCATCAGATCCTCCTCTCCACCCTCTCCGAGTTGGGCATCTCCGGCGCGGCTCACTCTTGGATTGCGTCCTACCTGACAGGTCGCTCCTAACAGGTGGCGTGGCGAGAATCTGTCTCCGCACCACGTGCTCTCACCACTGGTGTCCCCCAGGGCTCAGTTCTAGGCCCTCTCCTATTCTCGCTATACACCAAGTCACTTGGCTCTGTCATATCCTCACATGGCCTCTCCTATCATTGCTACGCAGACGACACACAACTAATCTTCTCCTTTCCCCCTTCTGATAACCAGGTGGCGAATCGCATCTCTGCATGTCTGGCAGACATATCAGTGTGGATAACGGATCACCACCTCAAGCTGAACCTCGGCAAGACGGAGCTGCTCTTCCTCCCGGGGAAGGACTGCCCGTTCCATGATCTCGCCATCACGATTGACAACTCCGTTGTGTCCTCCTCCCAGAGTGCAAAGAACCTTGGCGTGACCCTGGACAACACCTTGTCGTTCTCCGCTAACATCAAGGCGGTGACCCGATCCTGTAGGTTCATGCTCTACAACATTCGGAGAGTACGACCCTGCCTTACACAGGAAGCGGCACAGGTCCTTATCCAGGCACTTGTCATCTCCCGTCTGGATTACTGCAACTCGCTGTTGGCTGGGCTCCCTGCCTGTGCCATTAAACCCCTGCAACTCATCCAGAATGCCGCAGCCCGTCTGGTGTTCAACCTTCCCAAGTTCTCTCACGTCACCCCGCTCCTCCGCACACTCCACTGGCTTCTAGTTGAAGCTCGCATCTGCTACAAGACCATGGTGCTTGCCTACGGAGCTGTGAGGGGAACGGCACCTCCGTACCTTCAGGCTCTGATCAGTTCCTACACCCAAACGAGGGCATTGCGTTCATCCACCTCTGGCCTGCTGGCCCCCCTACCTCTGCGGAAGCACAGTTCCCGCTCAGCCCAGTCAAAACTGTTCGCTGCTCTGGCAACCCAATGGTGGAACAAGCTCCCTCACGACGCCAGGACAGCGGATTCACTCACCACCTTCCGGAGACACTTGAAACCCCACCTTTTTAAGGAATTCCTGGGATAGGATAAAGTAATCCTTCTACCCCCCCTTAACCCCCCCCCCAAAAAAAAAAAAAAAATTATATATATATATATATATATATATTGTAAAGTGGTTATCCCACTGGCTATAAGGTGAATGCACCAATTTGTAAGTCGCTCTGGATAAGAGCGTCTGCTAAATGACGTAAATGTAAATGTATTCAGAACCTTTACTCAGTACTTTGTTGAAGCACCTTTGGCAGCAATTACAGCCTCACGTCTTCTTGGGTATGACGGTACAAGCTTGGCACACCTGTATTTAAGGGAGTTTCTCCCATTCTTCTCTGCAGATCCTCTCAAGCTCTGTCAGGTTGGATGGGGAGCGTTGCTGCACAGCTATTTTCAGGTCTCTCCAGAGATGTTTGATCGGGTTCAAGTCTGGGCTCTGGCTGGGCCACTCAAGGACATTCAGAGACTTGTCCCGGAGCCACACCTGTATTTTCTTGGCTGTTTGCTTAGGGTCGTTGTCCTGTTGGAAGGTGAACCTTCGCCCCAGTGTGAGGTCCTGAGCGCTCTGGAGCAGGTTTTCATCAAGGATCTCTCTCTACTTTGCTCCGTTCATCTTTCCTTCGATCCTGACTAGTCTCCCATTCCCTGCTGCATAAAAACAACCCCACAGCAGGTTTCCTCCAGACGTGACGCTTGGCATTCAGGCCAAAGAGTTCGATCTCGGTTTCATCAGACCAGAGAATCTTGTTTCTCATGGTCTGAGAGTCTTTGGATGCCTTTTGCAAACTCAAAGCGGGCTGTCGTGTGCCTTTTACTGAGGAGTGTCTTCCGTCTGGCCACTCTATAATAAAGGCCTGATTGGTGGAGTGCTGCAGAGATGGTTGTTTTTCTGGAAGGTTCTCCCATCTCCACAGAGGAACTCTGGAGCTTGGTCAGAGTGACCATCGGGTTCTTGGTCACCTCCCTGACCAAGGCCATTCTCCCCCGATTGCTCAGTTTGGCCGGGCGGCCAGCTCTAGGAAGAGTCTTGGTGGTTCCAAACTTCTTCCATTTAAGAATGATAGAGGCCACTTCTTGGGGACCTTCAATGCTGCAGACATCTTTTGGTACCCTTCCCCAGATCTGTACCTCGACACAATCCTGTCTCGGAGCTCTACGGAAAATTACTTCGACCTCATGGCTTGGTTGTTGCTCTGACATGCACTGTCAACTGTGGGACCTTATATAGACAGGTGTGTGCCTTTCCAAATCGTGTCCAATCAATTGAATTTACCACAGGTGGACTCCAATGAAGTTGTAGAAACATCTCAAGGATGATCGATAGAAACAGGATGCACCTGAGTTCAATTTCCAGTCTCATAGCAAAGGGTCTGAATTGTTATGTAAATAAGCTATTTATTTTTCCCTTTTTTATACATTTGGAAAAATTTCTAAAAACCTGTTTTCACTTTGTCATTATGGGGCATTGTGTGTAGATGGATGAGAAAAATATAGATTTGATCCATTTTAGAATAAGGCGGTAATGTAACAAAATGTGGCAAAAGTCAAGGGGTCTGAATACTTTCCGAATGTACTGTATATCCTAATCTGACTTTGGTGCAGGTCATGTTGTTCTTCACGTTTCATTTGTCACATGCACAGGATACAGAAGGTGTAAACGGTACAGTGAAATGGTTACTTGCATATTTGGAAAGTAGCAATATCAAAAATAGAAAGTGTCCAGATAAAAATATTTTATAAATAGTTTATAATTATTAGATGATGCTTACCCAGACACACTTGTCTAAATTGATGGGTCATGTGAAATAAATGCTATAACCACCCCTCAGCCACATCTAGCTAAGTGGATGTGTCACTATTGTCTAGACATGTACACATGTTTATGAAATACAATAAATGGCCGTAATCACCCCCAGACACACCTGGCTAACTTGATGGGTCATATAATCATCTGGTGAAGTGGAGTCATTTGTTTAGACATGTAGCTAGCAAGCTAGCTAGCTAGCTAAACAATGAACCATAAACCCTACCCATAGCTACAGTACAAATTAATTGTCATAGCTAGCCACCATGCATGAAATGCTGTAGTATGAATCTGCAGGTATCTAAAGCTAACCAACTAGGTTCAATGTTAGCTAGCTATGCAATGCAAATAGCTTCCTGAGATACGAATAATGTTAATACACAGATCATACACGTAACGTTAGCTAAAGTGTCACGCCCTGGCCTTGAGAGCCCGGTTTTCTTTAGTTGGTTTGGTCAGGGTGAATTTCTATGTGTATGATCTAGATATTGTAGATCTATGTTGGCCAGGTGTGGTTCCAATCAGAGGCAGCTGTCGATCGTTGTCTCTGATTGGGGATCATACTTAGGCAGCCATGTTGCCTACCTATGTTGTGAGATCTTGTTTCTGTGTGTTTGGCTTGTTTGATGTTAGCCTTTAGAACCTCACGTTACGTTGCTTTTGTTCGGTGTTAATTCAATAAACGAACATATACGCATACCACGCTGCACCTTGGTCCAATCCTGTACTCAACGAACGTGACATAAAGAGCCAGCAAGCTAAAGTTCGCTAGCTAGCTAATGGTACTCTTTAACCTGCAATGAAAACGACTTTGACAAAATTTGAAACGTATAATATCTGAAAATGTAGGTAGGGACTTACCCGTATACATGGATGAAGGCTTCACGGCAGCGTGTCTTTTCCGTTTGGTTTGTAGCTATCTACAGCTTGTTTGGCCCGTTGTTGTGTCAAGTCTCTCTGGTTCACACTGACCATGTGCAAAAAGTAGTCCATCACAACTTTTTCCCACTGATCTTTGTCGATAGTGCCTGCTAAATTCAGGGCAGCAATTTTGTTGAGAGCAGTAGCAACGCTTTTGCAGTTCTCCATGGCTAATGTTATATATTTCAAAAAAGCTGTGGTTGAAAGGATTATCAACACATACTGAGCAGCTCACGTTATAGACAGAAGCATGCTACGTGTCAGACCAATCCGAACTCATCTCTAGGCATGTCCAGCCCATCCATTATCTCAGCCAATCATGGCTAGCGGGAAGGTTCCTGTCTTTTTCCGTGGTTAAACCAACTAGGATTGTAATATAATTTTTTTAATCCGTATTTACAAATGGCATACAAGTTTGTTATTAAGGCATTAAGGCACATGAAAGTTCACATGTTCCAGAAGGCATTTCCAGAAGGCAAACCTATATATACACTACCAGTCAAAAGTTTGGACACATCTACAGACCACAGACCACTGCGCCACTCACAAGTGCCGCTAGAGATCCTGGTTCGAGTCCAGGCTCTGTCGCAGCCGGCCGCAACCGGGAGACCCATGGGCGGCGCACAATTGGTCCAGCGTCGTCCAAGGTAGGGGAGGGTTTGGCCGGCAGGGATGTGGGTTCGTTTCCCACGGGGGGCAAGTATGAAAAAAACAAACAAACAAACAAAAAAAACATGTATGCATTCACTAACTGTAAGTCGCTCTGGATAAGAGCGTCTGCTAAATGACTAAAATGTAAAAATGTAAAATGTACTAATTCAAGGGTTTTTCTTAATTTTTACAATTTTTTACATTGTAGAATAATAGTGAAGACATCAAAACTATGGAATAACACATATGGAATCGTGTAGTAACCAAAAAAGTGTTAAACAAATCAACATTTATTTTATATTTGAGATTCTTCAAATAGCCGCCCTTTGCCTTGATGACAGCTTTGCATACTCTTGGCATTCTCTCAACCAGCAGTGTGGTTAAGGTTAAGGTTAGTGTTAGGTTAGGGTTTCAAAGTTTATGACTGTGGCTGTGCCAGATAGTGACCACTTTGTAGAGCTCCCTACAGGGCAAGATTCATGACAATAAAGGCCAAATTGTGGATAAGAGGATCTTCCCAGGCAGCGGTCGTCCAGTGTAGTGTAATAGTCTCAGTGTATTAAAGACAGGAGATATAGGTACGGTTAGGTTGACATTTGGAGCTGTAGAGAAACACTTAATCACCACGCTACTGCTGCCTGAGAAGGGTGTATCCTGGCATAGCAATTAATGACACACACACACACACACACACACACACACACACACACACACAAACACACAAACGAACACACACACACACGAACACACACACTCCCCCACTCACTCCCCCACCCACTCCCCCACCACTCCCCCACCCACTCCCCCACCCCACTCCCCCACCCACTCCCCCACACTTATACGTCCTTCCCCCTCACACACACACATAAAAACAGAAAGAGCCGAGACCTCTCTCCCCTCTCTCTCCTCAGCTCTTGGATCTAGCTGTGTGAGGGCAGTGTCTGGTGTGTGTGAGTGTTATTGATGACCTGGTGTCCACAGTTAAGGTTATTACATCACTTCTCACCAGTTTACAGCAGGGGAGCCAGAGCGGTTCTCAGCTCAGACAGACTACATCCATCACAGAGATCTGTTTCCTGCTCTCTGCCTCTATAGCAGCCTCTTTTACACACACACACACACACACACACACACACACACACACACACACACACACACTGCCTCGTCGCCCTCTAAACCCGCAGGTATCTTCACCCCATACACAGACTCAAATTCTCACCAGATAATGTCAGAGGATATATGATGAAGACATGTTTAATTTTACTCTTGGAATGCTAATGTAGTCCCTTTAAATATGGAACATGCATAGCCACAACAAGATCTTTGTTTCATAAAGTTTTATGTCAAGCAAGTGAGTACACATACAATAGAGTGGACACACATTTGCTAACATGACACACTACACAAGGGCCATAGGGTCAAATGTGGTGGACTATAGGGAAAAGCATTTGGGACGCACCCAAGGACTACAAAGATTAGAGTGTTTATCATGAAATCAGTTGGGGCCTCATGGAAACTACACTAGCACACTGTCCTTGTGTCTTCCCTAGTGTGACTGTATCTTGGCCATCATCTTCCCCCAGTGTCTTGGGTATTAGCGTCTCTAGGCCACGTGCGTCATGCCTATCCTCTCCTGTGTTTTCCTTGCCGGAGGCTATGCTGCAGGACATGCCTTGTGCTAGGGTCACCCTTAATAACTAATGCAACTGTCTGCCATGCCCTCCAGCCTGCTCCCAACACAAACACACACACACATGGGGGATATGAACGTGTGGGAGACTCTCTCAGAGGAAGGAAATATATTGGGAATCTATCTGTCAGTTACAGAACCCCACTCTATCTGTCAGTTACAGAACCCCCACTCTATCTGTTAGTTACAGAACCCCACTCTATCTGTCAGTTACAGAACTCCAACTCTATCTGTCAGTTACAGACCCCCCACTCTATCTGTCAGTTACAGAATCCCCACTCTATCTGATAGTTACAGAACCCCCACTCTATCTGTCAATTAGAAAACCCCACTTTATCTGTCAGTTACATAACCCCTACTCTATCTGTCAGTTACAGAACCCCCACACTATCTGTTAGTTACAGAACACCAACTCTATCTGTTAGTTACAGAACCCCCACTCTATCTGTCAGTTACAGAACCCCCACACTATCTGTCAGTTACAGAACACAAACTCTATCTGTCAGTTACAGAACCCCCACACTATCTGTCAGTTACAGAACCCCCACTCTATCTGTTAGTTACATAACCCCCACTCTATCTGTCAGTTACAGAACCCCAACTCTATCTGTCAGTTACAGAACCCCACTCTATCTCTCAGTTACAGAACCTCCACTCTAGCTGTCAGTTGCAGAACCCCCACTCTATCTGTCAGTCACAGAAAGCCCACTCTATATGTCTATAGCCTCAGATGTATCCCCTCTCCTCTACCAATTTATCTTCTCCTCTCTTCACGTAACATCTCTTCCCCTTCCTCTCCTCTCCTCTCCTCTCCTCCTCTCCTCTCCTATCCTCCCCTATCCTCTCCTCTCCTCCCCTATCCTCATTTACTCTCCTCTCCTCTCCTCTCCTCTCCTCTCCTCCTCCTCTCCTCTCCTCTCCTCTCCTCTCCTCTCCTCTCCTCTCCTCTCCTCTCCTCCTCCTCTCCCTCTCCTCTCCTCCTCCTCTCCTCCTCCTCTCCTCTCCTCTCCTCTCCTCTCCTCCCATATCCTCCCTCCTCTCCTCTCCTCATCCTCTCCTCTCTCCTCTCCTCTCTCTCTCCTCTCCTCTCCCTCTCGTTGCCTCTTCGCTCATCCTCTGCCCTCCTCCTCCCTCTCCTCCTCGCTCTCACTCTTCCTCTCCTCTCCTTGCTCCTCCTCCCTCCTCTCCTCCTCTCCTCTCCTCATCCTCTCCTCTCCTCTCCTCATCCTCTCCTCTCCTCTCTCTCCCTCCCCTCCCCACCTCCTCTCCTCTCCTCTCCGCCTCTCCTCTCCTCTCCTCTCCTCTCCTCTCCCTCCTCCTCTCCTCAATCCTCTCCTCGGTCTCATTGTCTCCGCCTGCCTCCTCTCTCTCCGTGCTCCTCTCCTCTCCCCTCAGGTCCTCTCCTCCTCCGCCTCCCTCTCTCTCCATTCCTCCGAGTTCCTCTCCTCGGTATTTGCCTCGTCCTCTCCTCGTCTCCGTCCTCCTCTCTCTCCTCTCCTCTCCTCTCGTCACTTCTCCCGTCCTCTACTTCCTGCTCCTCCCGCTCCTCTCCTCTCCTTCCTCTCCTCATCCTCTCCTCTCCGCTCTCCTCTCCTCGTTCCTCTTCTCCCTGTCCTCTCCTCGCTCTCCTCTCCTCTCCTCTCTCCTCTCCTCTCCCCTCATCTCCTCTCCTCCTCTCGTCCTCTCCTGCTCGAATCCCTCTCGTCTCCGTCTCTCCATCCCTCTCCTATTGGCGCTCTCCGTCTGCTCCTCTCCTCTCCTCTCGCTCTTCTCCCTCTCTCACTCTCTCTCCTCTCCTCTCCTCTATTCCCTTCCTCCTCTCCTCTCCACTCACACCTCTTATATCCTCCTCCGTCTCCCTCTCCTCCCATATCCCCTCCCTCCCCTATCCTCCTCCCTCTCCCTTCCTCTCCCTCTCCTCTCGCCTCTCTCCTCTCCCTCTCCTCGTCCTTCTCTCTCTCCTCTCCTCTCCTCTCCTCTCCTCTCCTCTCCTCGTCCTCTCCTCTCCTCCTCTCCTCTCCTCTCCTCTCCTCTCCTCTCCTCTCCTCACATATTATCCTATATCTAAAAATGATCATATACACTGATTGTTTAAAGCAGGGATGGGCAACTCCAGTCCTCTGGGGCCTGATTAGTATCACACTTTTGCCCCAGCTAACACACCTGACTCCAATAATCAACTAATCATGATCTTTAGTTTAGAATGCAATTAGTTTCATCAGCTGTGTTTGCTAGGGATGATGTGTGACAGCACCCCGGCCCCCGAGGACTGGAGTTACCCATCCCTGGTTCAAAGCTAAACTATCATAACTATTGCTGATGGTGAACCTGAACAATCGAAATAAAATCTATTGTAAGCCCCGTTAATCTGGTAGCCTATAGAGCTCGCCAGTTTGTAGTCCTAAAACACGGAAATGAGTTACCTCTGATTCATTCAGCCATTCCTATGGGGGATATGAATGGGGAAAGAATGGGGTTTAGGGATAAATGCCCAAAAAAAGATCTGAGGTTAACACAGGCTTAGGAGATCTTATACGTTTTGTTCTAGAAGATAATATAATTTAGTTAACATGACCTTTATGAATTATGAAGCCTTTATGTGATTTATGTGCTAGTTTTTATTACATAAATGCTTCAAAATTCACAAAAAGTGACATTAGCTGATGAAGATTATCTCATAGAACAAAATGTATAAAATCTCCTATTCCTGTGTTTACCACAAACCTTATTTTCGGCGTTTATCCAAAACCCCTACAAAAACTCCATTCATTTTTGCAAAGGCTTTGTCCAACCAACCATGGTGGAGTTAATGCCTACAAAAAGACGGCATTACTATTTCTCTGTATAGCCAGATGAAAGCTTACTTTTATTCCGATAAAACACCATTTTCAACAGCACATAGATAACTGGCAAATCTACCAGTCTGACAATGTATCTAGACATAACAGAGGACTTGTTGTTGGGTATAAAGTGGGTGTGTGTAATAGCTAGCTTCTGCAGTATGTTACTCTGTAGACCAGTGGTTCCCAACCAGGGTACTAGGACCCCAGGGGGTACTTGAGGAGACTCATGAGACCATAGACCTACTTGTAAAACTCCAGTCAGAGCAAAATTCAGTAGGTTGTCACTCAACTAATAAAGCCTAATATCACACAAGCCGTTTTAGCATTTGAATTCTGAAGGTGCCGTGCAGATGTGCAACATCAGGAACAGGCCGTCTACCTCGTGTTGGTCAGTTCGCAAATCTGGGCACAGTGCGTCATTTGACTAGGCTACTGATATTCCCTGGTGTTCTTCGGTTTGCAAAATGACTTGTAGATAAATTACCGTCAACACAGTTACATGCTTAGTTCGAGGACGCATCAGTTGTCCCAAAAGATTAGGTATTTTTGAAAGTAATATGAGGAAATTCGATTCAGAACGTTTGAATAGATTTTCTGACCGATGCATGCTACATTCGGTTTGCTGAAGTCATCTTAAACATTTGAATCAGGGACTGATACGTAACGGTGAATCTTTACATCCCTACTAGCTGTTATGTATATCTGTATGCACGGGATGAGACTACAGGAATGATTTTGATGAATATTCATATTTTAGAGTCACT